TGTTATGTAGTTTTTTTTTTTAAAGATGCCAACCGATGACTTCTTTGCATTATTATGTGATAGCTTGTGTTATTGTGTCTATTTTTTAATGAAAAGTATTTAGTATGAAATACAGAAGTATCTCCCTCATCCGCACACATATATTCACATGCATACATTCACACATACATGCATGCACACACACACACACACACACACACACATATATATATTTAACAATACTAATAAATAATAATATAACTGTTATTAATGATAACAAAAAACTTGCTCTCACATAGTGGTAGTTAGAAAACAGCAGTCAATGTCAAGCAGATGCAGCTATGATAATCATAAAAACACAAATATGGATATGTATATGCAACTGCCAACATTTTCACACTTAGGTGATCCTCAGGCACCTGAGAATCACGTGAATGTGAAATTGTCAGTTGCACACACACACACACACACACACACATATAATTTTAATATTCCACTTAATAAGGGCCAAATATTAACTAAACTTCATCCCTGTTTACAAACTTCAGTCTTAAATAACTCTGCCTACAGACAGTTGAATATATTTTTTGTTTAAATTTCTGAGTTGAGAAACTATCATTATTATACATTAATTTATTCAAACAGCTGGCTTCATAAAGTATATTTTAAACAATTTAAATTAAATAAAAAAAATTAATTATAAAAATTGATTGTATATTTTTCCAGAGGCAGTAGAATAGTGAGTATCAATAAAAAAAATAAGGAAATTGAAAGAATCAGCACATATGTTTGGTCTTAATAACCTCCTCAGAAGACCAAGAAAAGAATTGAACACCATATTTTGATCAGAAAGGACAGACTTTACGTTTAAGTCTTCAAAATTTAACTACTTGATTGTTCTATAGAATGGTGAATCTAGTGTTGATTATGCATGGAATTTTTACATATATTAAAATATGCTACATTTATAGAAAAAGAGTGCTCAATATTGGAGATAGTGTTTATAGATATAGATATGAGTGGACATAGGAATTAATACTGCATGGTGACTCCCAGTTACATGCTCTAATGCAATCTCAGTGGTGAAAGTGACAGTCCCCATGCAGTGTTGATTCCTATGTCCACACTATCTATCTATATATACATACACAGAGTGTATAAAAAATACTTTTACAAACTTTGGGGTGGGTTCCTCACACCAAAACGAGGAAAAAAGTCCACATAAATGTATGTCTGCAAATCCTTCGTTTTTGAGTTATTAAGTTGAAACAAGGTTTACAGTAGATGGTGCTGTGTTGCCATGTACACTAGTTTAAATTTGTCATTCATGTACATATGTGGCTAGTCTATCTTCAACATTTAATGTGTGCAGTAGTGAGTTAACTGAGAAGTGTTCCATTTAACAATGTCAGGAAATTCATATTGTGAGCAGGCAGAATTATTTTTACAGTCGTGTTCATTACTATTTGTGTGAGGCTGTACAGCAGTATCAGATTGTGTTTCCAGACTGGTACAGCTTCTCAATATCTCTAGGTCTGTCCATGCTAAACCAGGGTCCCTTGCTAGGTGTCCTCCCTATGAACTCTGAGAGTGGCCCCTCAGCTGCATCATATCCTTAAAGAGGTTACAAACAGACAAAGGTGGTACTGGAGTGAAAGGAACAGCAACACAAGCATAGATAAAAGAAAGAGAGGTTTATTGTAAAAGAGAATACACTACTGAAAGACAGGGAATCGGTTAGCAGACTAGTAATTCCTGAAGCAAGTCCCACAGGTATATCCTGCTTTCACTATATATATCTACTGATATAGTCAGTCCACATAGGTGATAAGGAGTACACCAATAGTACTGTCTCTACTTCAAACAGATCATAGATGAGTTATTTCTTCTCTATCATTGTTAGCCAGTTCATCAATTCTCCCAGGTCCCTTTTATATGCCGACCATCTGGGTTTCCCCAACAGGTTTCTGAAATTACTTGTCACCTGAGATCTACTCACCTCATTTTCATTTACTGATCACTCAGGTCCAATGTCTGACCCATACTTACTCATCTTTGCTTGCCTAACTAACCATCAACATGGGAAAAGAGAGACAATTTGACATGTTCTAAACAACTTAATTGGCAAGGTGCAAAAATAACACAAGAGAAATACAGGGAAACCAAAGAGCATTTTACTTGTCACTAGACTGAAAAAGAAAGATGTTCATGGTATTTTAGAACTTTATAGTCAAAAGAATGACTAAAGTTTGTTGGTTCTTTTACTCCTTTTACAAATTATTCTTTTTTCTTTATTCTTTTCTTTCTTTGCATTTTTTTGGAATGATTGCACTGTGTTCTGTGGTCAATCTCTTGGCTACAGACACCAAATATAATAACCTGCAGTGTCAATCCTGGTCATGGCAACCAAATATAACATGCATACCCTGGTTAATCCTGTGAAGAAACTGGTCAGCAGTGACCATATGATATGTTCCTTGCCACATGCTGCCTATACCAGAAGATGACTTGGTCCTCAGATTCATAGGACGACAAGTGGATTGCAGGGCCAGTCCCATGCTGGATGATACTGTTGCTGGTCAACTGGCCATAGGTTGCTAGCTGCCCTAGTCCACACTTTGCTTTTGCCCACATTGTGTTTATTGATCACAGAGCAGTGGAGATCAAGTATTGTCAGTAATCATAGCACTGATTCAAACCACAGCAAAGTTGTGCTATGAAGGAAAAAAAAGAAATGTTCTTACAGACAAAATAAAAATGAAAGATTCTTTGGGTCAGTTTTCAATTTGGTTTATGTAGTTCTTTGTATAGTAACATTAACCTTTCTCACTAAAATCTCTACAGTGACACTTTGCCTATTGGTGCTAATTCTTAGAACAGGGTTCAAAGTCAGAGGTTCTCTTGGCAGCAAGTCACATGGATTTCAGTAGCACTTTTGTCTGCTCTTTGCCACTTATCTCTTGTCTCTCTCTGGGTCACCTAAACGCTCTGCTTATATTGATTTCAACACAAGACTGGAGTGGAGCTGACAGTATTTAGAGTTCTGGTGATTCCCCAGGTTTCTACTGGTGGTGGCCACAGGTATCACCCTTATAACTCATTCCTTCTCTTATTTATGCCTCACACCATTACTTCCAAATAGACAGAGGTAATTTTTCCTTCTTCCTCCTCCTCTCTTAGTATTTCATTTAAGTCTGCACTTGGGCTGTCTTGTTGACAAATCTGATTTTTAAACTGAGTGGGCAAAAGGGAAATTCTTACTTTTAATCATTAAATGTAATTATCTTAATTTTCAACAATGATTTTTCTCAGTACCTAGTCGTGTTTATTTAAGCAGACATTTACCAGCTGCTCCACTGACTCACTATTAGCAAAACTTGTTGCTTAATCGTATTCATGAACCATACAGGTCTGTTTCATATTTCAGTTTCTTCAAGCAAAGGATAAAATTTTATTTCTCAGTTTTTATTTTCAGAATTGACAAAGCTATTTCCACTCTTTGACAGGTAGGCATAAATCAGTTTCTTGATTCTGCCTTTGTCTTCAAAATTACCAAATATTATAACTCAGTTGACCCCTTCTTCCATCTGGTAATCATGAGACATGTTTTAGTAACTTCCACTTTAATTAAGCGGACATAAATCAATTTCTCAATTTCTGCTTCTGTTTCCAAAATTGTCAACTAAACTCAAATGTACTTTCACTAATCCTTCTCAGACCTCATGGGTCTTTCACATAGCCTCATATAATATGTTTCCCAAAACCAATAAAGTCATTCTTTTCAGGTTTGTCTTTCTTCAAGCTAGATTTTTAATAGGAAACCATTTTGTTCCTTCTTTCAGTTTATATATCATTCTGTATTTTTAACACTCTCCATCTGTTCATATTTTAAATTAACCCGTTTTTTTACCATTGTCCCATAGTGTCACAATTGCATAAACTGCTAATCTGTTGTTTGTCTCTCCAGTCTTGCTTACATTTGGTTATTTGGTTATTTTATTTGGTTGGAATAAGAATGTCCTGGGCAGATTTTTTTCCCAAAACTAATAATCATCCTGAGCTGTCTATTTGAAACTCAAATGTAGATACCTTGATCCTAGAAGTATCATTCTATACATAAATAAATCTATCATTTTTGACAGGTACTAGGCTTGTATTGGAATAAAAACAAAATAATCACAAGAGTGAATAGAAAGTTTTTTTTTATATTTCATGTCTCTCACTTATTTGCATACTTTTAAAATCTGCTCTGCTGAATTCATAATTACCAAACAATTTGGTACATACTGCTCAAAAACAGTCTTTCCCAACAAACAAATGAAGAGTATTACAAATTCATATTATTATAAAATGACTTATTTGAACTACGATGTACTGCAAGATACATATTTACCCACACTAATGCCGGATGAAGTCCTAAAGGACAAAATGCATTACACAAAAAAATTTTCCACTTTGCCATAGATTTTCCTAAAATTGTTCTTGATATATAATAATTTATATTATTTTTCTCATACTTGTGTAGTAACAACCACAGATAGAAAAATGTTTTCTAGTGTAAAAATTCATAACAAATTATGCACCACTTATTTTGATTAAGCTCACTACTCAGAATGATTACTTCAGTACTTATATAAATATAAACACAATCTTAGTTGGAAAAGTGATAGATGGCGTTAAAAAAACACTTGATTATTTATAGCTAATTTGTTTAAATAATCCTTTGATTATTGTTTGTGTCATGTAGCAGCAATTGTAAGTAAAACGATGCACTAAAATAAGTAACGAAGTAATCTTTTCAAGTTCTCTGAGTGTCAATTCATAAAAATATTTAATGATTTGTATACTACAGTATTATAATTACAGTAAATATTAGTATTATTAATCTGACAGTACTACTACAATTACAAATGCTTGTCTTCATTACAAGAGCTTGATACTATTCTCACTGGTATTATTGATATTTATTTTGGCAACTTTTTCTTCTCTTCTGACTGCTGCTGCTGATGTAAATTAAAGTAATGGTATCTCGGAGAGGCAATTGGCTAGTGCTAGCAGGTGAAGAAGATGAGTCATACTGTTTGCATTCAACCTCATCACTTTTTCTTTCATTCTTTCTTTTTATCCATCCATTTTTTTCTTTTTTACCCATTCACTATTTCTATTTGTTTTATTCTTCATTCCTGTCTGCATTTCTTCAATTTTTTTGGCCAACATTTTCTCTTGTTTTCTCTTTTTCTTTCTTTACTTCATTTAGTGTTTTTGTCTTTTCTCTTTTTTGAAAAAAAATTCTCATTCTCTCTCTCTTCTTCTTTATCTCTAATATTCTTTACTCTCTCTACTTACCTTCCAGCTTTCTTTTTCACCTAACTTTCTTTTGTTTACTCTTCTTTTAAAACCTTTTTCTCATTCTTTTTCTCTCTTCTTCATCTCTAGTATTCTTTATTCTCTTTACATACTTTACAGCTTTCTTTTTCACTCTTTTTTTCTAGTCTTATACTCATACTCTTTTTACCTCATCCTCTTTTTATCTCACTTTTTTTCTTTTCTCAATTTATTAGTTCTTAGTGCACTTTCCATGTTTATTTTCAACTAAGGCAAAGTTAGGCTAAGCAGTCAGTAAGCACAAACTGTTGCTGGCGTATCCAGTGAACAAACACACTAATAATAATAATAAAAGCAGATGAAGGCAGTATGGGCTGTGTGTTTTGCCATTTTTTTTGCTTTTTCTTTGAAGGAAAAAAAAAAGTAAAGATGTCTGTCCATAAAATAATTGCTCTAGATTGACCATTTATGTTTCCTGAAGTAGCAGGAAATGAAAAGGAATTAATAAATCATGAAATCTGTTGGGCTGATCATCTCCAAATAATAATATTAAAATTATAATAATACTGTTTTTATTACTACGGCTTAACGAAAAGATAAGTAACTGAAATAGAACATCAAAGTTGGGTGCAAATGTAGGTATACAGTATTGATATTTTTTTGTATAATCAATACAATGATTTGTGTGCATGTTTTTCACTGTATACCTACTTTTGCACCCCATGTGTGTGTGGGTGGGGCGAGTGGGGTGAATTGAGGTGGTATTTGGATAGCAGTTTTTGTTTATGGAGGTTTGTTCAAAGAACTATAAATGTTGTTTATTTTATTTTTTTATTTTTTTTTCCTTATAGCTTGGACCCTTTTTCTGGTTTCTTTTTAGAATTTGGATATAACCAAACCTAAGCATATATTGTGTAAAATTTGTCCCGGTTTTCCCACATGAAAGAGTTAAGGTTAAAGGTGACAGAATTGCTAAAAACAATAATGGCTTGAAAGTTTAGAGCAGACAATTCTCTGTTTTAGGTGGAAGAATAAAGACTCAAACTCCTACTCAGGGTATAATAATAGAAAAAGAAAATGTTTATTTACATACCCAATAAAAAGGTAAAGGGATATATATACAAAATATGAGAGAAAGAAAGGGAGAAGAAAATTCCTTTAACTTAAAGGAAGAAAAGTGTTCATGTAACAGCTTGTTCAAAAATATTTCTCTAAACACCTAAAAATTCTTTAAGCAAGTAAATTGTTCTTAAGGGGATAACACTCACATAAGATTTCTTCAGCTGAAGGAGAAACAATTGGAAGATCTGTAGTTTGTAGTTGAGTGAATTTGTAGGCTGACAATAGGAATTTCAATGTCTTAGGAAGCAGTTCTTGAGTAGTTTTATTAGAGAGCTAACATTCTGTCTTTAGAACCCAGCATGTAGATTTCTTCCTTGAAAGAGGTTCTGAAGATGACTTGTTTTACTGTTGCTAACCTGATGTTATCACAGATGATGTCAAATACCCATTTCCGTACTTATCAAGATTAGAAGGCTCAGAAATACCGGGAACTTTTTCCTCCCAAATTGCTTATATAAGGGTTTGGGGGCTGGTTTTTGGAAGCAAAGGTCTGACAAGTTATGAATCCCCACCCCGACTTTATGACACCATGGTCAAGGTAGGGGTAGTCAAGTACCTTTTTATATTTTCCAGCTCTCTCATTCATTAAAAAATATAATATTATCTCTGATAAGAATCAAGGCTTTGGGAGCCAGTTTTGGAAACGGAAGTATGTTGGGGCAAAGATCAGAAAAGAGACTAAAATGTGAACTTGTAAAACATTGTAGTAGTGGTTCTCAAATTAAATTCTAATTATATATATATATATATATATATATATATAGGGTGAAGCAAAAATTGTGCATCTTTGGGGGTTAATGGATAGGTTGAAGAGGTCCTTTTGAATGGCCACCAAAGCCACCAGACCTCATAACCTTGGACCTTTTTCTGTGGGGCCATTTGAAATCAGTTGTTTATGAGATGTGCCCAAGAAATACTGAGGAACTTAAAGAAAGAATTAAATATGAATGCAGAAAAATAACAAAAGAAACTCTCCGACATGTTAAGGAATCATACAGGCACAGAATTGAAATGTCTTTTGAAAAAGGAGGAGGACATTTTGAACAGCACATATAAGAATTGAATAACTAGTAAATAAAATTTTCATCAGTATCAAAATAGTGTAAAATTTTCATGTGCAATTATCCTTTTAATAAATTATCCCTATGGTGCACAACTTTTGCTTCACACACATATATATATATATATATATATATAGCACAGGTAATCGATCCATTGGTGTATAATCTGGATGGATCCTAGTATTGTGAATCCCAGAAAAACTCAATTGGGACACATATAAGAACCACCACATAATAGGAATTGATATTAAACTACAAAGAGCAAAAGGTTCTAGCCATAAATAAACTCCAACTCCAGACTGCTTCCCCCAGGATAAGATACCTTATGCCCCCATTAGTCGCTAACACAAAACCATTCTCATTAAAATGTTGTCTACCAGAGGAGGACTGACACTGAAAATAAATTTAAAACAATACTCTGAGACAGACACTAAGGGGCTGATGATAGTTGCATACAGAACAGATTGAAATAGACTGTCCCATGTTGAGGTAATTTTTGTTTTTTTTGCTGTAAAAAAAAATATACATATATATATATATATAATGTGTGTATGAGGAAAACTTATCATATTCAGAGAATTAGAAAAGTAAATGAAGTTGATAAAACTAGACACATAATACTGCCTAGCAACTCAACAAACTGCTCAAATGTTCATAGGAAGCATCTTTATTAAGATGTCAACAGAGGCATTAGAAGTGGGTACTCTGAAGGCCATGCCTGTCATTTTATCATTCAATTCAGAAATTAATTTGCCAACTACCTTGGCAGCATCAGTAGAGCTAGGAATGATGTTCTGGACATCTCCATGCCCACCTCTCCACTCCTTGCTAAATGGACCATCCACAACTTTCTGGATATCAGTGTACTACAGTAGTCATAAGAACCTCTTCAATACCAAATTCATTATTGATCACTTTGGCAATATATATATATATATATAATCAATACTGTTACCAAAACATATAAGGTAGATATAGAATTAAGATTTTTAACATTTTTCTATCTTTATTTGATAATATAAAGATAAGAGAAAACAAAATTATTTTTTATTACAAATATGCTTGTTGATAGCCAAAAACAGATTTACAAAGAAGAAAGTAAAATAAAACTATTCTAAAGCCTGATTCTAAGTGATAAAAAATAAAATGAAACATAACAGTATAAAATAAAATCAGTAAGAACTGAAACTGTAGACTACATACACTGGGGATAATCAGTGCAGAAAGTGGGATAGGCATGATCAGTTAAAATTCTAGCTGAGATAGTTGCATTCACACAAACACCCTTAGAAAGGTATGAATAAATCTCTTCTCTTTCCAGATGAGGGTTAATAGCAGGGCTGAGTAGATTCTCTAGCCTTGGTTGGCAACCTGTCTAGGAGAAGGATAACTATGAATCCAAAACAAATTCAGCTCAAGGCTGGCAATTCCATCCTATAAAAACCTACTTTGAGAAACCATAACCACAACAGCAACACCTAACCTGATGATGTGGTAGGACTGTTCTTCACAGGAGAGCCTACAGAATATACTACTACACCACACACACACACTTTTATTTGTACATACATATAAACAAGTTGAGTCATCCAATCTGAAATAGATTCTGATTTCATCCATAACTTATTCACAAATTTTACCACCTGATTCTCACTTTAATTTAGCAATTAATTTATTTGTGTTAGTCTTAATTCATTTTCTTTTAAATGCCATGTCTTTTCAGGTGATGGGGGATCATGGCTCTTTACTACTTCCTATACTTTGAAGCATTCTGATTATAAAAATCATATTTTTTTATTCCGGTGTTTTAATTATTTAATCTTCAAAAAAAAAAAAAAATAGAAAATATCCTTTTACTTTTACTCAAATAATTCAGAGGCTTATAGCCATATAACATTGAAACACCAGTTCCAATATGAGCACCAAAGTTAAGCAATTGTACCAAGATGGGTGACCACTTGGGAATACCAGGTGTTCTAAGTTTAAATGTGCAGATGATGTAATGGATAATGGCTCAGAATTGTTAATTGGAGAGTTGGATTCATTATATTCACTTACCTTAGGAAAGGTATGAATCCACCCCTTCTTCCCCCAGCTATGGGTTAATTAGTAAGATTTGTATCAGTAAATCATTAAAAAAAAATTCTTACAATCTAAAATATTTTCTGGCTTTAAATAACCTGTAAAGTGTTGATAAACCATAAAAAACAAATCAATCAGCAAATAATACATATGAAAAAACAGAATATTATCATTAATTCCTGCAGAAACTTAAATCAAGCAAACTATAACAACTGATTCAACATGTCATGTCACGAGTCTTTTAACCCATTAGGATCAAAGGAACGCCACATGTACAGTAACCATAGCAACAGCGGTGTATCTAAGGCAAGATAGCCTGACAGAGCCTATCCCTTTTCAGTGTGGTTTTGGATACAGAGTTTTCCTTCTAGACTGGTTGCCATCCCAAGGCAGGAGAGCCTAGTTAGCCCTGCTATTTAACCCATAGGGAAGAAATGCATTCATACCTTTTCCAAGGTTATTTGTGCAAAAGTGAACATAACAAACTCAGTCCGAATTCAAACTTTGATCATTCACTTCTCTTTCAGAGTTGTTAACCATTACATTACCTGCATATCCAGCAATTACTTTTACAATTATTTTACATTTATGATCATTTTTCTTTTATGTACTCTGTCCCTTCAGGGTATAAGCAGTCATGGTTCTCCATAACTTCCTATCCTTTGTAGTTCTAAGTAATGTTTATCCCTTTACTATCTCTCCCAGTCTCTGTTCCACCATTCATTTACACAAACTCATGAGGTAGGTTACTTTTTTTTTTTTTAAGCGTTTCACCCCAAGCAAGGCGAGAAGCCACTAGGACGCAAGGGGTTACAAAAAATTTGGAGCAAGATCAGATAGGAGTGATAGAGGAAAGGATGAGGAGAAGGATAGTGGATAGATCAAGGCAACTGGAGATGTCGATTGACATTACATTTGGATAATTGGAGATTATAGCTCTCAGGGAAACTGGAATAGGGAAGTAAGTTCCACAGGCGAGAGGTGCGAGACATGAAGCTATTGGAGT